CATCAAGCTGGTAGATAGCACTGTTCAGTCTTCTGTAGCTTTGCTAACTTTCATTCTACTCATTCTATTAATTATTGAGAAAGAAATGTTAAAATCTCCAACTGTAATTGCAGACTTACCATTTTCTCATTTTAGGTGTATTTGGTATTTGAAGCTTTGAGCAACTATATAGTCTTCCCTTTTAGGGGCATACTTAGCAGTGCTTAGGGGTCACTCCTGACTGTGCTGAGGGGTCCCTTACAGAAGTGCTTAGGGGACTGTGTGGCTGGAAATCAAACCAGGGCTTCCTGCATACAAAGCAAGTTCTCAGCCCACTAAGGTCCCTCTTCCCCAGATCCCTATCTTCTCTTCTTAATAAACTGATACCCTGTAAAGTTTGTGTGGGCTCACTGGATGGCATTGTCTCACCGCCTGCGTTCGGTGCTCTTGAGCCGCTGTGTGTGGCCTGGATCGGAAAGGCTGTTGGCCAAGGGCAGACAGAAGAAGAAACGAGGGCCAGGCCAGTCTATATCAATAGTAGTTTATTCCAATCCTCTTCACTCCTGTCTTTCTCTGCCTCCTTCTCTCCTTGGCCCCAATCTTGGAAGCTCTCTACTTCTGGCTCTGACTCTGGATCTCTGGAGCCTGAGCTCTCTCGCTTCTGACTCCCTTTCCGAGCTGACTTCTTAGTTTATATAGCAGTCACATAAGGCGGTGACATAAAGGAGGGTTGAATACTGACGAATCAACAAAGAGAGGTAAGACCACTCCTCCAGGAGATCAACTCAAGGATAAAATCTCATCTACAGAGATTACTTCAGATTACTAGGAGATCCACCCAAGGGTGGGATCCCAACAAGGGCGTGTTCTTCCCTCAGTTAGTAATCTACTTAAATAGCTGTAATAAATCTACTTCTAATATTTCTAGCAATGTCATTCTGTATGAGCACAGTAAGAGATAAAAATTTAGCTTGGTTCTTCCTGAGAACATCTCATTATACATTTCGCAGTCCTCAGGCCAGGTTAATCTTCCTAGCTCCAGCAGGGTCCTAGTCTCGTCCTTACTTACTTTTGGATCATGACAGCATTTGTCCATTATCATGCCCTCAACTTATAGTTGAGTATCGTGGCTCTTTGACCTGGCCCATTTCGATGCCAGGGTAGCTCACTGCTTGCCCTGGGTCCATTCAGTCCCTCCTCGGGACCCTGCTTTTGGGGTGCTAGGAACTAAGGGCAACTGAGTCAAGAAATCAGATGCCCAGGAGTAAATATGATTCGGAGTCAATCAACTCCCAAGTTACAAAGCATAATATTAACTGTCTTCCTGTGTCCACACAGAAAGGACATTGCTTACAATACAAGTTCAGTGTCCTTAGATGGGTGTGAGCTGACAAACCTAAGCTACCTGAGGAAGGACAAAAGAGTGTTATCCTACAATACCCCTATTTTATTAAATGTCCCTGCTTATATTTATTTTAAAATCTATTGTTTGGCAATAATCACTTGAATATTTCTTCACTAGTACTTGCAGTGCATCTTTTCCCATTATTCTACCCTATAATTTTTTGTTACTCTGTGCCACATCCAGCAGTGCTTGGAGATCACTTCCAGCTTGTATCTGTTGGACCAGGTGGTGCAAGAAAGCAAACCCAGGGGTTGTGCATGCAAGGCTTGGGTTTCCGGCCCTTTGGGCTATCCCGGACCTTCCTCTGTCCTTTCAGTGTTTTGTTTAGATTTTGAATTCAGATTAAAATTTTATTTAAGAGAAGGAAAAGAAAGAGAAAATAGCAAGAACCATTACATGAGAGGGGGATTCCTAAGGATTCCCTTCCCGGCTTTAAATGTTTAAAAACAATTAAAAAAAAAACCGGTAGCATAACACTGGATCTTTTCCCCTCTGAAACTTAGTATCTTTTACTGGAAGGTAGGAGTTAAATACTTCTTTGGGTGGGGGGGTGGATTTCCAGAGGAAGCCACCAAAGCTATACCTGGAGGTGCTCAGGGGTGCATGCAGTAATGGCGAGTGAAATCAGAACCTTTCACATGCTACAACTCTTCCCCTGGTCCCTATATGCTAAATTTCATTATTATTAATTTTTTTGTTTTGGGGCACTTGTATGTTCATGGCTTATTGTTGGCTCTGCACTCAGGGATCACTCTTGGCAGGTTCAGCGGACCATACAGGGTGTCAGGGATCAAAAAGATCGGCTGTATGCAAGGCAAGTGTCTTACCCACTGTACTCTTTGTTTCTATATGTTAATTTTCAGACCATTTAAATTTACTAAAATTATTGATACAATTAAGTTCAAGCCTGCTGTCTGCCACCTTGAACTACTTATTCTAGTTCAAGAATTCTAGTTCTTAAACTAGAATGGTTTGTCTATTTATTCTATTGTTTTTTGTTCTCATTAAGTACTTTTTCTTATCTACACTTACAGTTAATGATTCCACTCCACATTTCAATTACATCATCAGCTTATTAGGAATCACTCTGTCTCATCTATTTGGTGATTCCTTAACCTATGAAATAAAAAATTTACAATGAAAGAAAAAATGACCTCAGTCTTATATGAGCTTTGTTACTTAAGAAAAACATACCCCTATTCAATAAGTTGAGTTCTAAATTTCAACCTTAAGAGATTTAACCAATTAAAATAAAAAATTCAATGATATGAATGTAATTTACTGTTAGAAAAGACAAGTGATATGATTTCACTTGTATCAGTCACATTCAGAGACAGAGAGTAAGTTGTTAGTTACAGGAGCTGGTGGAGTGTTGGAAAGGTATTGCTTATGATTATTGATTATTTAAAAAAAAATATTTCCCCCAATGAAAAAGCCACAGTCAAAGAAATCATTGCTGAGAAGTTCCCAGAGTTAAAAAATGCAGAGATACAGATCCAAGGAGTCAGAAGGGTGCCAGTAAAAAAAAAAAATATTTTTTAGGTCCAGTAGTGATCATGGTATCTCCCCTGCCAGCGGTAGGGCATTTGCCTTGCATGCAGACACGAGCCAGGTTCGATTCCTCTGCCCCTCTTGGAAAGCCCGGCAAGCTACCAAGAGTATCTTGCCCGCACAGCAAAGCCTGGCAAGCTACCTGTGATGTATTCGATATGCCAAACACAGTAACAAGTCTCAAAATGGAGATGTTACTGGGTCTGCTCGAGCAAATCGATGAACAACGGGAGGACAGTGACAGTGATAGGTCCGGCACTTCCACCTGATGGTGCTCTGGGAATTGAATCTGTGATCAGTCACATGCAAGGCAAATGCTTAACCTCTGTGTTATCAATCTGATTCTTGACTTAATTTAAAAAAAAAAAACTGTTTTGGTTTTGGAATGACACCTGGTGCTCAGGGCTTACTCCTGACTGCTCAGGAATCACTCCTGGTGGAGTGTGGGGGAACCATATGGGATACTTGGGATTGAACCCAGGCTGGCTGCCTGCAAGGCAAGCGCCCTTCCTGCGGTATTGCTCCTGGACTTTCAGGCTTTTTTTTGGGGGGGGGGGGTCACACCTGGTGATGCACAGGGGTTACTCCTGGTTCTGCACTCAGGAATTACTCCTGGCGGTGCTCAGGGGACCATATGGGATGATAGGAATCGAACCCAGGTCGGCTGCATGCAAGCAAATCAAATGCCCTACCCGCGGTATTATCACTCCAGCTCCTGGACTTTCAGTTTTAAATGCTGAAGTTAGTCAGTAGGAGTGGCACAGTGCCTTAGAGCAGTTTCTCAGAATATTCTAAGAGGACCGCAGCTGAAAATTGCATAAATGGGGAGTCACATCATAAGACTAGAGTGTCACATAGTAGAATGGGGTGATGGCCACAGGAAGTAAACACATTTGGAAAGGGGCCACAATAGGAAAAAGTCAGAGAAATGCTGGCTTGGAACATAGGCTTTGCAAGCATATTCATGAATTCAAATTCCTGCTGTCCATTTACTGACCAAGATCTAGCAGCTTTGCTATTTGTACATGGTAGGTAGCTCTACTGTGACCCCTGGTACTGCAAATGATTTCCAGTCACACCACAGCCAGGTCTGTGTAAGTTCCCAAACAGAAGTGTAGTACCCATCAAGAACTATAACTAAAGTGTTTAAGTGCCAGTCAGGGAGTGTGACCCCTGGCAAGCATGTGTGAGTACAACAGGAGTGCAAATCTTGGTGAACACCGTGGCTGAGAGTGTGAGCACTATTATGTGCAACTGGCGACTAATACAAAAGTGCAAGTAGTGCAAGTATCACAATCAGATATGTCTGTAACCCTAGTGATGGCACCAACAGGGATGCAGGGGGAGGAATAAATAAAAAAGATGAAGTTAGTAACTGCTGATGACAGTTGTACATTATGGATGGAGTTAATACTATTGAACTGTACATTTGAAACTATTGCGAAGGAGGTGGAACTACAGTACAACAGGTAGGGTGTTTGCCTAAGCAGGTTTCCTAAGCATATAGAGTGTTTACCTAAGCTGACCCAGTTTCAATCTCTGGCATCCCATATAGTAAGTACTCAGAGCACTGCCAGGAGTGATCTCTGAGTGCAGTCAGGGGTAAGCCCTGAGCACTACTGGGTGTAAACCAAAACCAAAACCAAAAAAGCAACAAACCATTAAGATGAGGACTGGACAGTGCAAAGGTTGAGTTTGCCCTGCATGTGGATATAGTCACAAATCTGGTTTGGGTCTCCTGAGCATCAGTAGGCATGGCCCCTGAGCAAAGAGCTAGAAGTGGTCCCTGAGAACCAGAGTGTGGCCAAAACAAACAGAAAATTCCAGATAAAAAGGCTTGAGGATGTGGAGTTGGGGCTTGGGCCTCTGGTGCTGAGGACCATCAGGGTCAAGCTGGCGGTGCTTGGGGCTCTCAAGTGTTCCACCCAGTGGTGCCAAGGACAGGGGCAAGTGCCTCCAAGGCTTCTACACAGGTCAGATACATGTTCTGCATCACCTCTGACCATTGAGCATCTCCCAGTCCCTGAAAGATCTTCTTAAAGAAAAACAAAACTGGCACTACTTTTCCTTTAACCTTTTATTAAACCTTACTACTATTCTTTAAGGGACAAAGAGACAAGTAGGGTACAGTGAAGGAATCTTTTTTTCTGAGTGAAGAAGCTAAGATACTTCCAGGAATTTTCTTCAGTGATGAGTCTTATCTTTATTCTGAGACTCCCAGATATATTCAGCCCCTGCAGCTACCACAAATGCAGCAAATCCCCATTTGAATCCTTTCAATATTGCACCAACAAAGGAAACATTGTGGGCAAAGCCACCCATGTATCTCCAAGCTTCATTGCTAGAGAGAAAAAAAAGAAGAAAAAATTATCATCACATATGTTGAGTGAAACATTTGATTTTCAGCTTTCTGACTGATTTAAATGCAATCTTATATGTGGATCATGACAGAATTCAGTCTTTCTGTAGCATAGGACAATTAGGTCTCATACCCAAGTTTATATATAGAAGAAGAAAACATACTTCATGATCCCACATATCACACTCATCACAGTTCTACAGGATTTTATAGAATCCTATACTTTTGTCCAATCTATCACAAATCAGCAGTATGTCCATACTAGACAACTAGTTATAGAATGAGAAAGCTAGAAACTTGAATGTTAATCTTTTATCTGCCATTTCAGGCAAGATAAATTAACATGTAGGGGATGCTTCTTCTACTCAAAAATGATTACTATATAACTTACAGTGTTATCTGGCCACTGGGGAAGGTGGGGGGTGAGGTGGGGGGAGTATGTGTGCAGAGTGTGTGTGCGCAAATCCAGCAGGGCTTAGGAGCTACTCCTGTTCAGGAGTCACTCTGGGCAGTGCGTGCGGAGCCATATGTGGTGCTGGTAATCTAACTAAGGTTGTTTGCATGTAAGGCAAGCTTCTTAATCTCTATACTACTCTCTCCAGTCCAAAAGTTTTATTATGAAGATTAAACAGGATGATGAACAGGATGATGTGTGATATATTTTGGCAGAGTATGTAACATTGACACTATTACACTCAAGTAATTACTATTATTGTCACTGTCACTGTCCTCCCGTTGTTCATCGATTTGCTCGAGAGGGCCCAGTAACGTCTCCATTGTGACAAATGTTACTGTGTTTGACATATCGAATACATCACAGGTAGCTTGCCAGGCTTTGCCGTGTGGATGAGATACTCTTGGTAGCTTGCCGGGTTCTCCCAGAGGGGCGGAGGAATCGAACTTGGGTCGCCCATGTTGGATGCTTGCAAGGCAAACGCCCTACCCGTTGCGCTATCGCTTCAGCCCAATTACTATTACTATTATTAGTATATACTCAAGAATACCACAGCTTTCCCGTCAGAGCACGCTGAATTTTAGAAGACTGATTTCTTAACCTAGTAATCATTCTTCTAAGTATCCTGAACAGAGAAGTAGAGAATAATCAGGGAGAGAGGGAGAGGGGAAAGCAGGAGAGAGCAGGAAGGAGGAGGGAGAGGGGGAGAAATAGAGAGGGGTGGAGAGGGAGAGGGAGAGGGGAGAGGGAGGGGGGAGAGAGAGAGAGAGAGAGAGCGCACAAGTGAGCATGAATGCTAGAGTGGGGGGTGGGTAATTGGGAGGGGAGAGAGGGAGGGGAGAGAGAGAATAAGGGTTAAGGGGATCCCTGGCACTGCATATGGTTGCCTAAACATTGTCAGGAATAAGCCCTGAGTAATGCCAAATAGGATCCTATATATATATATATACACATACACACATATATGTATATGAATAATAGGCGAAAGGAGAGATAACACAGTGGGTAGGGTGTTTGCCTTGCACGCAGCCAACATGGCTGACCCGAGTTCGATTCCTCCGCCCCTCTCGGAGAGCCTGACAAGCTACCTAAAGTATCTCCCCCGCACGGCAGAGCCTGGCAAGCTACCCATAATGTATTCGATATGCCAAACGCAGTAACAACAAAGTCTCCAATGGAGACGTTACTGGGCCCGCTTGAGAAAATCGATGAACAACGGGAGGACCTTACCTTACTTATATATGAATAATATGTCATAAGGAAATGTTTCAACTCAGGAATGCAAGATAATTTTAATATCTGAAAAATCAATAAAACCAATGCACCATATTAAAAAAGGTTGGAGATCTGGTTTAGCTGAATAGCAAGAGTGCAAAGGAATATGAGGAAAATTTTGGGAATGATAATATTCTTTATAGACTCTGATGATAGTTACATAATCACACATGCACTGCAGCATTGTTCTTCTGTTGTTCAACAATTTGCTCAAGTAGACACCAGTAATGTCTCCATTGTGAGACTTGTTACTGTTTTTGGCATATGGAATACGTCACAGGTAGCTTGCCAGGCTTGCTGTGTGGGCGGGATACTCTCAGTAGCTTGCCAGGCTCTCCGAGAGAGGCTGAAGAATCGAACCTGGGTCAGCCGCGCACAAGGCAAACGCTTGACCCACTGTACTATCGCTCCAGCCCAATCACATATGAAATATACATAAATTTATTATATACTTGTTCTATAAAAATATTTTAATGGTCATGTTAAAACATTACAGTAAAAAACATTTCTATTATTTTTTAAAGACTATAGGGTTGTGAATGTAGCTCCCTGAAGAGTGACTGCCTTGCATACGAGGCCCATTTTCAGTCCTTAGCACTGCGAAAAATAAAAACCAAAACAAGTAAAAGAACCACAGAGAGACTACATTAAAAAGGAAAATAGATACGGACATTCAGTGATAAATTACATGTAGTTATTATTCTTACCGGGCCCATGGATCCTTTAACCCTCGTGCAGCAAGCTTCTCCTGAACAATTTCTAATGGTGTCCCTTCTACCTTCCATTGTCTATAATCTGGAAGTTCCATTTTACCATGACCATGACCATGTCCATGTCCATTTTCATGTCCATGTCCATGTGCCATGTCTACAAAAAAATAGAGAATATTTATATTTTCAAAAGGCAATATAAACACTCAAAAATTATGAGTTTAGAGATTTTATGAAGTATTTAATTAAACAGTAAATACCCAAAATATTAAAAAGAAAGATGATTAGAAATCTCACAAATAAGAGGCAAGAGAAACTATCTACTATGCGGTTCCTTTTCTTCATAACTGTAACATTTTCTCTGCTAAAGTGCCAGATGCACTCCATCAATGCTCTTTACATGTACAAACATGCTTCATTTCACTGTACCTCATGTATTTTGCACTTTGGTTTTTTTCATTTGTTTGTTGTTGGTTTTTTTTTTTTTCTTTTTGAGATGCTCAGGGGTTATTCCTGGCTCTGCACTCAGGAATTACTCCTGGTGGTGCTTGAGGGACCACATGAGATGTAGGGAATCAAACTCAGGCAGGCTGCATGCAAGGCCAATGCCATATCCGCTGTACACAGTGCTCCGGCCCCAGCACCTTTGTAGTGGATTTTATACAAGATACACCACTAGCAAATTATCACTTGGTTAACATTTTTAAAGCAACACAGGATTTTAAAATAAGGTTATGTACACTTTTTTTTTCACATTTAAGTCTGCTACTACATTTATATAGTTTTTATACACCAAGGAGAAAACAATAAAGATTCACATGACTTGGAACTGCACCCATATTATCTCTGAGAAATGCCAGTAGTAACTCAGTTACTCCTAAAACAATTTTGAATTTAAATTATAATTACCTCCATTATACAGATAAAGACAATGAAACTCTAAGGTTAGAAACACAAATGATACTAGATTTTAAAGCTTGTAGCTTGATTTTATAGCCCTCACGCTGAACTTCTAAGCAATTGTTTCCTTCTTTTTAGTCCTTACATAGGTGTGTAATCCTGAGGTGGCTAGGAAAGTCCCGCAGCTCTTCCCAAGGGCATTCGATAGTCTAGGGCCACTCTCCCACCTGGGAAGGTGGACACCATAGGCGGACAAAGGAGGACATGAGGCCCCAGGCTGGTTTCTGATCAGTTGCCATTTATTCCATTCTCCCCACACACCTGTTCCAGTCCCACTAAGCCCCTCATTCCAGTCTCCTCCAGTCTCTCCCACTCAATGCCCAGATCTCTCTCTCTCTCTTCTCTCACCAAATCCCCCCATTGGGGAAAGCAGAATCAACATATCAAAGCCCTTCCAGATCGCCAATCAGGCTCAATCAGGCTCAAGGACAGAAATACCTCCTAGGGGTGTTTCTCGGCTCCTTAGTCCAATAACTTAACTAACATCTTAATTCTACTTCTTTTTTTCCCCCCATTTTTAATAATTTTATTTACTGGATCACCGTGAGAGCAGTTACAAAGCTTTCAGGCTTAAGTCATATAATGAAACACCCTTACCTTCACCAGTGCCCATTCTCTACCCCCCCAAAACCCCAATATACCCCCATATCACACCCTCCCCCTAACTTTAGGGCAGATGATTTCCACATTACTCTCTCTCTACTTTGATTACATTCAATATTTTGACACCAGACCTACCATATTATTTGGGATTTTACCCCAACACTCAGATAATGCTGCAGTAAACAATTTATTTTCTATTGCTGGTTATGAATAACATATGATGCTGCATGGCTACAGCAGTGGCTGTGCGATTTTGAAATTTCAAAATTTTAACAATTAAATCTGGAGGGATTTATGCCATAACCTGCTGGGTTTCGAGATTTGTTCCTAAGTGTCTTGGATCATGGCCGTTAAGTAGCTTGATCAGGAGCCATAGAGGCTGTTTGTGGATGGCAAACTGGGGTCTTGTTGGGACGGGGAGGAAAGGGCCGGCTCCACCCCCATGCCGTGAGACCCTGAATGTCTTGTCATGGAGGGCCCAAACCTGACTGTCCAGTGGCCTCTGGAGGATGGCAGCTACCAAGCCGCCTAGGGGGAGCAGGTGGAGGGACAGCACCCTTTCCCCCCCTAGAATGGCCTGGTGACAATAACCTACTGCGGGGTCTGGATGCATCTCTGCCAAAAGCCCGTGGGTTCCGAGATTTGTTTCTGAGTCTCTGGGATCATGGCCATTAAGCAGTTTAATCAGGAACCAGAGAGGTCATGCCTCCAATTATACAGCTGAGCCAGAGGTGGTTTGTGGGTCTGTCTCCCACATACCTAACTTTTGGCTGTTTACTTTCTTGGTAAACTTTGCCCCAAGTTTTGGGGTCTGGCCAAAGGCACAGCAGCAATTTTGGGGTATCTGGAAGTCCGAAGGCACCATCAGGCTGCTGATGCACTCACCTCACAGGTACAGATTGACCTGCTAGCGGCACCATACCCCCTTAATTCTACTTCTTAATATTAGTTATTTTGTATTGACACAGTAAGAGAAACATTAAGCTTGTAGGGTGGCTCTCCTGAGAACACCTCACCATACACTCTGACTACAGTGCTCAGGCCAGATTAATCTTTTCTAACCCTAGCAGGGTCCTAGTCTAGTTACTTTTTGGATCATGACAGAATTTGTCTATGACCATGCTCTTAACTTATAGTTAAGTATTATGGCACTTTGATCTGGCCCATTTCGAAGCTAGGGTAGCTCACAGCTTGCCCCGAATCTATCTAGTCTCTCGTCGGGACCCTGCTTTTGGAATGCTAGGAAGTAAGGGCGACTGAGGCTTAAATTGAGAGAACAGATGCCCATGAGTGAGTATCATTCTGAGTCAATTAACTCCCAAGTTACAAAAACACAGCATTAACTGTTTTCTTGTGTCTATATAAAAAGGACACTTCTGAATTAACTATGCAAAGGACTTAAGGAGAAAAGAAATATTTACAAGTTAACAGAGTCTGATTAGGAGATAAAGGTGATTGACCTGTTGGGGAAGCAGAGCACAAAGAGGTTACAAATAAACACAGAGGAATGGGAGCACTGTGATGAGAGTAACCTAATAAACCTAAGCTCCTTGTGGCAAGGTAGAAAGGACAAACCAATGTCATCCTCCACATAGACACAGATATGCATATCAAAACTGCAGTACATACTATTTTGTTACTGTTTTTTCCTATATTGAGAATGCACTATTGGGTTAAAAAAACACCTATCATGTGACCTGTTCTGCAAAAAAGACAGAACATATTGTACATTTTGTGGGTCAAGACATAAAACCAAAGGGCCAGAGACATAGTACTGGAGGAAAGGCTCTTCTTGCCTTACATCATGTGGCCAACCCCAGTTCAAAGTCTCAGCACCATAAATGATCTCCTGAGCATTACTAGGAATGATACTTAAGCAGAGCCACAAGTAAACCCTGAGCACTGCTGGGTCGCTGCTTCCCCAATGTTCACAGAACAGATGAGGGAAGTTGTACATAATCATAACTAATGAAGAACATTTAATGTTTGTATTTGTGGAGACAGTAACACTACTTTTGGTAGCTTTCATTCTTAAAAAGAAAATGAAGAGGATCTAAAGATATTCTGTGACTTTAAACTTCTGCTCTGCAAGTGTATGCCATGAGTCCAAATCCCGATGTCATCAGATGTGCATGAGTGCATTCCTGGCAGTGTGTACCTTTGATCCTGCAACCCATCCTGGATATCACAAGCTATATGTACAAAGGCACTTACAAAGGGGTATAACATTCATTGAGCACTGCAACCACAAAGACTGCAAAGCACATTGGTCAGGAAATGCAGCCTCTGATGAGTATGTGTGTGAGCATCACAGCTACCCTGGAGACCACAACAACCATAACTGGCATGCTTCAACTGCAGAGTACAACTCCTGGTGAGCACATGTATAAGCACTGCGATGAGGGAGCGCAAATCTCATTGCCCACTGCAACCTGACATGTGAGATCCAGAATATCAGTCTGGTGTGTTTGACCCTGGTGTCACAGCAATATTGACAACAAAGAAGGTAGTATGGGGATTAAAAATATTAATAGGGGCGAGAGCAATAGTACAGTGGGAAGGGCACTTGCCTTGTATGTGGTTGACCTGGGTTCAAACCCAGCCCTCTAGGAGTGATTCCTGAGCTTAGAGCCCAGAGTAAGCCATAATCACTGCCAGGTGTGGCACAAAACCAAACAAAAATATTAATAATAATAATAAAGAGATGGCTCTAAGCATTTCTCTGAGGATCTTTGAAACCACCTGCATCACTCTATGCCTCCGTTTCATCCAGTGTGGTGGCAACTACTCTGCTTGTTCAGCTCTATATTTTCCCCCCCGTTGTTTTCTGGGCACAACTGGAGATACTCAGTGGCTACTGCTAGCTCAATACTCAGTGGTCATTCCTAGTGGTGGTCAGGGAACCATGCAGTGCTGGAGATTAAACCTGGGCCTCCTATATGCAAAACATGCACTCCAGTCCACTGAACTATGGCCTCCCAGTCCACTGAACTATGGCCTCCCAGTCCACTGAACTATGGCCTAAGCTGTATTTTAATGCTAGTTGCCTGCATACTTCTAACATGTGCTCCTTTTGCAAGTTTTTACTCCATATATGTATTTCATGTGTATTTTCTCCTGCATGTAAAACATGTATTTCAACCAACTGAGCTATTTCTCTGGTCCAAACAATGATATCTTGCTCCCCTAAAGAAATGTTTGAGATTCTACTTCCATACAGATCTGGCATCAAATTAAGAACTGTAATATCTTTTTTTTTTCCTTTTTGGGTCACACCCGGTGATGCACAAGAGTTACTCCTGGTTCATGCACTCAGGAATTACTCCTGGCGGTGCTCGGGGGACCATATGGGATGCTGGGAATTGAACCCGGGTCGGCCGCGTGCAAGGCAAATGCCTTACCCGCTGTGTTATTGCTCCAGCCCCAAGAACTGTAATATCTTGGCCAAATCATTTAATTTCTATGAACTTCAGTTTCTTCATATAACAGTATTGTAAAATTACTTTGTAAGATTGTAAGAACTGGGTAAAACACATTGTTTTACCTCCCACTTTTACTCCCAAAAGTATGACAATGTGACTTAGAATAACCATTATGAATGACTGTTTAGCATATCCTAGAAAAACTGGATATCTGGATACCATCTGACCTAGCAAATCTATCTTTTTCTTTTTTGACATGAATCACTGTGAGATACAGTTACAGATTTACAAACTTTTGTGACTACACTTCAGTCATACAATGATCAAGTACCCATCCCTCCATTGGTGGCCACTATCCACCACCAATGTTTCCAGTAACCCCCTGCCCCCTGCCTCTGTGGCAGGCACAGTCCCTTTCACTTTCTCTCTCCTTTGGGGTGTTATGGTTTAACAATTCTATTTCTATGTTCTATATACATTATCCAATATTAGTGGCCACTAACACTTTAAAATAAGACTGGTTCAACTGGGAAAGTGAAAGTTTTTAGTTTTAATTAATTCAAACTTCAAAATGGATTCTCAATTATTAGAAAAATCTAAAGACTAAGTTTGGAACAATTTGGGTATACAGACCAACTATATGGGGTTGGGGAGAGAGTACAGCAGGTAGGGCACTTTGGGAAATGGCTGATTTGGGTTGGATCCCCAGCATTCCATATGGTCCACCAAGCCCTACCAGGAGTGATTCCTGAGTGCAGAGCCAGAGGTAAGTCCTGAACACTGTAGGTGTGGTCCAAAACCAAAATCAAAGCAAAAACAAACAAACAAAGATCCCAGATCTTTTCTATTGTAAATTTTAGAGGTGATTTTAAACACAGATCAAGTGTTTATATTGTGAAAATAGCAAAAAGTATAAGACATTTTGAAAGATTATTCAGAAAAGTAAAATATTTCATTAATAATACTGATTACATCTTAAACATTTTAAATTACTGGGAAGGTGAATATGTAATAAATTGTATCTGTCATTTATGCAACCATTTCAATAATGTCACTAGATTTTTTTTTTTTTTGTGATGTTCAGTGGTTATTCCTGCTCTGCAATCACTCCTGGTGATGTTTAGGGGACCATAAGGGTTTCTGGGAATTGTACCTGGGTCTGTCATGTGCATGGCATATGTCCTACCCACTGCCCACTCCAGCTCCCTAGAAGAAATTTTAATTACTTATATGGCTTCCAATATATTTGTATTGCATAGCACAGGTTCAGAGACACTCTTGCAAGTGAACAAGGACTTTAGAAGATATAAAGATATGTAAGAATATTGTTTTTAGTCAAATTTTTAACTTTAGTCCTAAATGATAAACAATTTATATGTCCTACAATAGATTATTAAATTGATGCACAATGTAAAAACTACATGCAAATTGAAAAATCTTACAAATATGCGCAAGGCATGCATCAGAAAGACACTGATCCATTTATATTAAGTGAAAAGCCAAAACAATTCACTTTTTTAGGAATTCAGAACTGGTGGGAAATTAACCAGGTTAATGTATGTTGCAAGTCAGGAATAATGATGACCTCTTGGCCAAGATATAACCAGAGCAGTTCATATAAGTAGCTCTTAAGGCAGTATTTTACAATCTACTTTTTTGATTTGTTTTTGGGCACCATCAGCAGTGCTTCAGGCTTACACCTGGCAGGGATTGAGGACCATATGGGGTGCTGGGGATCAACCTGACTTGGCTGTGTACAAGGCGAGCACCTACCCACTGTTCGATCTCTCCAGCTCCTATTTTTAATCACTGTACCCCAAAGGAACTTTCTCTCCTTCCCAGAAATTGCTATGCTTTGGGGCAACACTAAGAGGTTCTCAGGCTTACTATTGGCTGGGCACTCGGGGATCACTCCCGGCAGGCTTCAGGACCTTATGTGGTGCCAGGGATGGAAGCTGGTCTGCCAGGTGCAAGGCAAGCACCCTACCCGCTGTACTTATCACTCTTGCCCGTATCCAGGAACTTTCAAACATTTTTTTATTACAGTCTCAGGAGTCCTGACTCTTCCACCAGCCCCCCATGAAATTTTAATAACAGATATTAATAACATATATATGTACTATGGCTTTAGAAGATACCATAAACCATTGTAGTTAAGTTTTTTTTCCAGTCATCACAACCCTATGCAAGAACCAATATTCACTTCCTTGAAGAAAAATCATCTCTCTTGAGAACGAAAGTTCTAAGTTATTGGCAACATTTTCTTTTTAACCAAAGGGGTTAATGAGCATTTGCTTAATTATAGTTCTTGTAAATGTTCTTGTTTTACATACCGTCCTGTTACATATACTTTACAATAAAAACAAAAATTTATAAGATGACCTAAATTATGTCAGGAATTCAGTAAGGGTCGATTAGTTTCAGAGTTGTTAAAAACCAGTGGTGAGGAAATAAATTCAAGAAATAAGGAACTTATGATCAGAAATTAAAAAAAAAACTGTCTTTCCACTTTTGGAGTGAACACCATATGGAAATCAAACTTTATTAATAAAGGCCTGGAGGGGGTGGTTGGAGAGATAATACAGCTAGCAGGGCGCTTGCCTTGCACGTAGCTGAACCAAGTTCGGTCCCGCACACCACATATGGTATCCTGGGACCCACTGGGAGTGACAACTGAGCATACAGCCAGGAGTACATCCTGAGCTCCGCCCGGCGTTGACCCCTAACAAAACGAACGGTAAGGGGGCTTGGAGAGTTTCAGTAAAAAGGAAAATAATAAGATATGCTACTTACAAATATTTTTTACTGTTTATCAAAGACTACATAAAGTACTATCCTACTTTCCGTCATTTAAAAAACTGCTAAGGAGCTGGAGAGATGGCACAGTGGGTAGGGCGTTTGCCTTGCACGCGGCCAGCCCGCGTTCGATTCCCAGCATCCCATATGGTCCCCTGAGCACACCCAGCTATGCACAGGAGTAACCCCTGTGCACAGGAGTAACCCCTGTGCACAGCTGGGTGTGACCCAAAAAGCAAAAAAAAAAAAATCGCTAAGACTCTAAAGACGTTAGAAAATGGCTTCACTGATTGACGCTCAACTTAAAAATACTAATCACCCTAAAACTAATTGCTATTTTGCATCCAGTTTTTTTTTCATTTTAATGTGTTGTAAAGATTCACAACAGAAAAATCTTAAAGCTACCGATGTTTTTGTGAAAAGACGTTGCAGTTACTCCGAATTTACCAATTTTTAATTTGAGAGCTGAGCTTTTTCTGCTTTTAAAAGGTAAAGGCCCTCCCGTTGATCGTCGATTTGCTCGAGCGGGCCCAGTAACGTCTCCATTGGAGGCTTTGTTGTTACTGTGTTTGGCATATCGAATACTCTGCTTTTACTCCATTAAAAGTTAAACAAATACAGGGCAGGAGGGGTGCTGTGTCGGCAGAGAGGGAAAGGTACCTGGACTCATCATGCTCGGTAAATTACCTACAAGCGGACAGTACTATCTGTGGACTTCCTAAGTCTCTATTACTAGTTCTTCGTTCCTCCCCTTGAACGACGTTGACACACCCTCATCCTTCGTTACCATTTTGTCTCTCCTAGTCTAAAACTCCCAGGATAGAGCAGTTCTTAATTCCCAAGCAAAAGGTACCCCCACAGCTATCTCATTTACCTGACAGCAATCTGACCTCTCAGGACACTCAAAACTCAACCCTCCAGCCGGCGCCAACAGGAAACGGAAGCTGTCACCTCGAGTACCTTACGGCAAGAAAGCATGGAAATGATTTAACGTTCCGGCCCTGAGTCATAGACTCCTGGACCGAGTGACGCTGATGTGAAGGAGGATAAAGTCGGCGTGTTTTCGCTCTACCTCTGGAATCCACAGACTAACCGAATGGAGTGAAATTGTGGGTGGGGCGACGAATGAGGAGAGGGAGACATTTTCCGGGCAGGGAGTCCGGAATCTTTAGACCTTGCACCGGGAGGCGGGTCTTAAACGGCCTGTGCCCAATAGATGAGACTATTGTTAAAAGCGTGAAATTATCCAATGGGAGGGCCGCTTGTTGCGCTGCAGTTGGCAGCCTGCAGCGGGAGGCGGTGGCGGTAAGAAGCCGGAGGCAGCGGGGTGACAGGTAGGCGGTGGCGCTGTCTTTGAGGGTGGGGGGGAGACGCACAGTGCTGATCTGGATAGATTTTCTTTTTCTCGGGTGGCAGGAATTACAGAGGGCAGTTGACGAGGGTAGTCGGGGACGGCGTTTATCGGAGAGTTGGTGGTTCTGGCGCCGGTCGTGGACCAGGTAGCAGCATGGGAGGGTCGTGAGAACACGGCGGGTGGGGGCTGAGCCCGATGTGGCGACGCGGGGGCTGCGGTGGCGCCGGCGGAGAAAGGAGAGAGGCGGGAGCAAAGACGCTGTTGTGAGGACCGGAGGAATTCCGTGGACGAACTCGGGGGAGAGGGAAGAACGCGGCGTTTTGCAAGGCACCTGAGAGAAATCCTCGGGATCGCTTCGTTAGAGCCATTGCTCCGGGTGGCGAGCAGGGAGCGGAATAGAATGTTATTTTGCTGGTTGTCAGATCCTTGAAACTCTATGACTATACATTATGTAATCCTCCGCGATTATTTTACCCAAACAACTAGGTTGGTCCCTCTTGGACGAGGAGGTCTGGTGATCTATTGAGGTGCCAGAATAGTTGCTCCCCCCTCCCCCGCCCTCCCCCCCCCCCTCACCCCGAATCGGGCTCTGCAGGCGAGGGAGCGTGAAGGGTAGCGTAGTCACGAAGAGCGTAACCCAGAATCTGGACCTGGCTCCACAGAGATGTTCGTTGGAGACGAAGACGATCAGGTCCATAGATCCTTATTTTTGTAGTTCGTGAGTTTGTTTTGAAGGTCATAGCTGATAAAACTTCTTCTTTTTTAATCTTCAGGAAAAGTGGTGACCCTCAAAATTTTATAGAGTAGGAGGTAAGTGCAAGTTGTAAAATGCCTAGAAAATAAATTGATAGATTTTTTTTTTTCGGTCCCTGGAAATGGTAGGGACTGTCTAAATAAATAAGATGGGGGTTGGGCGGGGGGAGTAATTTTTTTCAAGTATTTTTTTTCCTCCAAGTCCAGAAACTAGTTCTTGGTTATTTCTTAGATTTGAAAAGTATGGCACCTCCTGAGATGAAATATTTTCAGGCATCATTAAGTATAAATTATATTCTCAGTTTTTATAATTTACACATGAAATGCAGAATTAAAGTAGAAATTTCAATCAATATGTGTTATGGGAGGGAAAAATTACTAAAAGATTTTTATTTTATAGCTCGCTGGAAACAGTTGTATTTTATTTTTTTTGAAGTGTCTTTAAAAGGAATATTATAAAATTGCTCAAATATAAACTGTTTGAAATGTTGCCTTTAGATGAGAAGATAACGACTGATACAGTATTAGCAAGTGCAAGGTTTTCCTGAGCTTGTTTTAATAATGCTTGTCAGGCTTTTTCTAACAAGTGATTCCCCCCCATCCCTCGTAATAATAGTTTATCATAGTGTACTCCAGAACACACACCACAGTTTTTTTCTAACTATTTGGTGGGAGAGGTATCCTGGAGTTTATTACAAAATATATGAGTACTGAGATATTTTATTAGAGAAAAATTTGATTTGACATAGCCACAAAGAATATTTCTGCTTTTATTTTAGGTACAATTCCATAGTGCAGGTACCTAGAAATTGCTGCTTTATTCAGGATACTGTATATATGGCTGTGTGTTCTCTGTGTGTATGTGTGTGTGTGTGAGCGTGTGTGTCTGTCTGTCTGTCTGTATGTATGTGTGTTTCTTATTATGTAACCCAGTTTGCTAGAGCTCTCTTAAGAGAACTAATGGCAGATTTTGAATGGCCAGTAGGTGTCATTGTAGAATATAATAAAGTTAACACTGGGAAATTTCCAAATGATATAATAAACACTATTCTGAATTAGAACAAAATTAATATTTCACTATCTCATTATAAGTCCTTTTGGGGCACATTTCCATATGGGAACTGTTTATACGGAATTGGAAACTGGATATGCAGAAGTATAGGGTTTTCTCTTAGAATGAACCTTTGAATGCTTGTTTCTTAATCCAAATCCTAAACAATTTTGCCATGCATATGGATTTAGGTTTGATTGTAACATACAGTTTCTGTGTCTTGTAATAGTTTAAGTTCTTGAGTGAAGTTATATAGTTTGAGGTTTACCATATAAAAAAATAGTGCCTCACAATAAGAAAAAAAATAAAATATGTACAGAACATATCAGCTGCACAAAATATTTATTTTTAATGAAAGGAATTATTCACTGTTTTTCATTAAATCTTTATTTCATTTTTCAATGAAAAGAATTCATTATTCTTTTAATATAAGGATTTTTTTTAGTCTTCTTTCTGTGTCTGTTTAGTCTTTTCATGTCCAAAATAGCTTCTTGTATCCTCTTATCTGGCTAGTAGGCCATGTACTTTTCTTAGGATGATGAACTGAATATTTGCTGTTCTCTAAAATGTAATTTAATGGATTTTGGAGGGAGTTGGAACAGAAAGTACAGGTGGCTTACGCTGGTGTGAATATAGTCCCTTTCTTGAAGCATCTTCTGCTGAACTCTTGTCACCTTGTTGGGTATTACTGATTGATACAGTGTAGAACATAGATCTAATGAAGGATGAAGGAGTTTTCCATGAAACCGGAGAGTTACGTACATCAAAATAGTCTAGGATTTTTTTTTTTTTGCATCACACCCGGCGATGCACGGGTTACTTCTGGCCCTTCACTCAGGAATTACTCCTGGCAGTGCTCGGGGGACCATATGGGATGCTGGGAATCGAACCCTGGTCGGCCATGTGCAAGGCAAATGCCCTACCTGCTGTGCTATCGCTCCAGCCCCTAATCTAGGATTTTTTAATTTTTATTTTGGGGCCACACCCAGTGATGCGTAGGGCTTACTCCTGGCTCTGTTCTTAGGAATTACTCCTTGACCATATACTCAGGGACTGTATGGGATGCTAGAGATTGAACCAGGATTGCCTGTGTGCAAGGCAAGCTCCCTACCCACTGTACTGTTGCTCCATTCCCGAGGAATTTTTTAAGTACATATATGTCTATTATATCATTTCTGCTTAGCCTTTAGATTTTAGTATGGGGGGAATATGAAGGGAGGTAGATAGATTTTGAAGAAAGAAAATTCCCTATATGATAAGGTTCACTATTGCTTTCATTTTAGAATTATTGATCTCATTCAAGGCTCTTACACTTGTGATATGAACCAGTAGATTAACTTGAAAGAGCTGCCAAAGCCAGCAACAGCTTTATAATTCAATATATTTTCACCGTGATATAATAACTAGGATCTGTTACTACATCTCGAAGCTAAAGTTACCAGAAATAAGCTTTATGGTACTGAATTTGGATTAATTTTTTTTTGTTTTTAGCCACTTTTCATAAATCTAGCTTCTTTCATAATTCAGACCTTAGTTAATATGTACAAATATTTGCTTATATCTTGTTCTTTTAATATTTCTGTGACCTATCTCCTGCTGTAAATAAACTAAATTGGAAAATAAGAATCAAAAGTTTTCATTATCAAATATTTTTCAGTATCGCTGTGATACAAAGATAAATACTTATTTTTCATATAAACATTCACTCACTTATACTTTACTCTTTAACAAGGCTTCAGACAATACTGGTCCCTTTTGAACATGTATTTTCTTGTAAAAAAACAACATAGGGCTAGAGCAGTAGTACAGCAGATAGAGCATTTACCTTGCATGCAGCCAATTTGAGATTCAGTCTCCAGCACCTTATATGGTCCCCTGAGCCCTTTAGGAGTGATCCCTGAGTGTAGAGCCAGGAGTAAACCAGGTATTGCCCAAAAAACCAAAATAACATATATTTCTCTTATGATTTTCTCAATGACATTGTCTTTTCTCTAGTTTAAGAAGACATATAATATGTATATAAACTATTATATTTGACTGTTTCATGTAATTGGTAGGATTTCTAATCAAATGGAGACTTATTAGTATTAAGTGTTTGCAGAGTTAAAAGTTCCTTGTCATATTTTTGGGCAGAAAGATGGTTCATTGTGCTAAATGCATGCTTTGCATATGGTAAGCTCTGTATTCTATCCCTGGCATCTCATGGTTTCCCCCCCGCACCACAGGGGTAACTTTAGTGTACTGAAGGGGGGACCCCAAAATTATGAATTTCCAATTGTATATGGAGTGAGGATGGTAGGGGTTGGTACCCTAACCTCCATTTTGTTCAAATTCCAAGGATACATATTCAGACTTGGAATTATGACTATGTTGACTTTGATATGGGTCGTGTTTAGAAATTCATGGTTCATGTTTGTGAATGAATTCTATACTTTCTGCTTAAGAATCTCTTTGTTGGGGGCTGGAGAGATGGCACAGCGGGTAGGGCATTTGCCTTGCACGCGGCCGACCCGGGTTCGATTCCCAGCATCCCATATGGTCCCCTGAGCACCGCCAGGAGTAACTCCTGAGTACAGAGCCAGGAGTAACCCCTATGCATCACCAGGTGTGACCCAAAAAGCAAAAAAGAAAATAAAAAAAGAATCTCTTTGTCATGGCATGAGAAAAAGTAATTGACTTGGGGAGAGAAGCAAACAGTTTTACATTAAGTGATGTGAGTTTGATTAAAAATTAATTTCTAAGTGTGAAATGTATCTGACAAAATTATTCATAAAATATGGTAAGTAGAGCTAGTTTATTGAATTTCTAAGTATGTATTTTTTTTTTAGTTCTAGTTTTATGAAAAAGGATGTGAGGAGGGAAGAATCCTTTTTACTTTATAAGATGATCATATAACTTAGACAAAAGTGATTGTAAAATCTAAAGTTAATATGAATTTGCAGTTTATCAAAATATCTCCTACTTTATTTTTTGTGGTGGGGGAAGTAGAAGAAATAATTATTCCTGCTTCTCATGCTGTTGTTAAATTTTGTGATTTTCTGTGCTCATATATTCAGCATCTGGTGGTTTCTAATCTGTATCCTTAATCCAGTGACTTCTCTTCATTTCCAGTTCTTTTCTATAAACCTATTCGCTTGCTAGGTGAATATGACCTTCATATTCCTCAAGTACAGTATATCTAAAAATGAATTGGGTTTTTTTCTTTATCTGCCCCCTCCACACACCTTTTTTGTTATTTAGACAAATGGAGGTCACAGTCACACAGAGTCAGTTTTTTTTGCCACAGCTCACACACTTTAGTTTTGTTGTTTGTGCATATTTTGTTTTCAGTATACACTGGACCTCACATAGTTGGTTGTAGTATTCATCAGGAGTCATACATTTTAGTTGCATTACTTGTACGCTTGATTGTGTTATGTTAGAAACCACACACTGTGTGGCATGGGCATTCCAAATGGTGCTGTTGGTATTATACTTGGTGCTAGGGATAAATTTTGTATTTTCCGGCTGGAGAGATGGTACAGTGAGTAGGGTGCTTGCCTTGCATGCAACCAACCCTGGTTCGATCCTCAGCCCCCCATATAGTTCTCCCACCAAGCACTGACAGAAGTAGTTCCTGAGTGCAGAACTAAGAGTAACCCCAGAGCATTGCTGGGTGTGGCCCCACAACAACAACAAAAAACCCTTTTACCCTTACACCTGCAAGGCAGGAATTTGCCTCTAAGCTGTCTGAGGGACTGCTGCATTTTTGTTTTATCTCTGCTTTGCTGAAACTGGAACCTAGTATTACCTTTGATACTTAGTTCATATACCCTCTTCATAGTATTGCTATTTTCTGTTAACTATCTTCTCACTAATTCCTTCTACTTTTGTATCATGGTACTAATCCTATTTTATACTATAACCACTGGAAATAGTATAAAGAGGTCTTAAAGACAGGTGATCTAGGTCTAGAGCAGTAATACAGTGGTAGGGGACTTGCCTTGCATGTGGCTGACCCAGGTTC